GAAATTAAATGTGGAAATGAGGATCAAGCCTTTTCCTTATACCTTGAACTATAGAAGATCTTTGAGTTTGAGTTCTATCAAACGATTTACAGAGAAATTGTCAAGAGAGAGGCCTGCAGTAGACCTGTGTAATAACCCATTCTTTTCGATTTTGTGTATTTTGTACATTTACACACCTTCCTTTGTCCATTCTTAAAATCCGTACACAAGAACTGTACTGTACTTGTAGTTCTCACTATTTTTATGTTTTGAAGTAAACTGCTGCTTCAGCTCCATGTTGCGCTGACAATGAAAAGCAGTCGTGTTATCTCTGTAGCGCACTATCTGGGAACCATACCTGCTCCTATTGTTAAACATTTAGGATCTCCTCACAACACAACAACCTGCTTTCATTAGCACTCGTACATCCCTCTGCCGAACTTTCCTCCAACTCCTTCCGCTCTATGTTGTTGTTGGCTCCCTGCACGTTGTCAATCGTAACCTGCTTCTGTGCTGCTCTTTAGTCACTCAGTGTCAGAGCACATAATACTTTAAAGATGCCGCCACAGCACTTTTCCGCTGGAGTGTCTTTGTGTGTGCCTCGTGTTGCTTCTGGTGCACTCGGATGAGGCAAAACAGTGAGAAGAAAACGGGCCAAAAGTCGGTGAATGCGTGGCTTTTACTGGTTATCATGGCTGCAGCTTTGGTAGCAGAGTGCACATAGGTTGCCATGGCGCTGGAGGGGATTTTGTTTCTTTACCACTGGAATAACCCACTTCTATGTCACAATGTGAGAGTCAAAACAGTATGCTCACTGAAGTCTGAGGGGTCTACCATTGGCTTGTATAGTTGTTAATATGGTCATTTATTTCCATGAACCAGTGGATATTTGGAGTCATACAGATTGCCAGCAGAGTGCCAACACTGCATCTGGGTGCACTTTCATCATAGTAAGTCTGGGGAAGCAAGTGACATTCTGAGACTTACACAAGTGTTTGAATTATATCAGTTATCACAAAATTGTACTTTTTTTTTGTTTGGCTTTAATACTTTCCTATCAATACTATTGTAAAAAAAATAAAAATAAATAATAATAATTTGGTAATATGCTTCCGAGCTGTACTTAGTACTGTACATAAAGGAACAGGTTCAGAAGAGAAGAACACACACTTGAGGATCGCATTCATTGGCACAGGCCCTAAAACCGAGCTGTCAGTCACACTATCACTAGGGAGTTGGGGATTTTCAAAACCCTTTAGAGAGAAACAGATGAATGCACTGGCTTAATCAAGCTCTAACTATTGATTTGCCTGGAAAATCCAGACTGATATCTCTCTGTATTTTTATGCAGATGCATAGGAGTCTGGTCCCCATGCCCTCCTTTGTGTCTTGATCATACATGATCATGCAGTCGTGTGTCATTTACAAACAAAACATCTCTCATCTCAAATTACCAGTTTAGTGCTTTGCTCATTGCTTCCACAGAAATAAACCATGTTTTTTAGTCCCTTGTGATATTTTTTTATTTTTATTTTTTTCATCGTTAGCAGCCATATTTGTTTTGATATGAACGGACCATGCATGTCCCTGACTAGCCAGGTGTACACTGAGTGCAAGTACGGTACAAGACTCGCACAGGTCCCATAAGATTTAAAGTCATTAAAATCACTGCAGCCTGTTACACTGCCACACTGACATAGGCGGTGTGCGAGAAAACGGGGAGATTCCCAAGGGACCAGACTCACATCTGCGTAAAGTATTGAAGAAGTGTGTGTTCTAGATCCCAGGGAAACTACTGATGACTTTCTACCAGAAATCAAATAGTGAGGTATGATGAAAAGATGGAGTAGTGGGCATATGAAATTAAATTACTGAGGCTGTGAAAATCTGAAAGTTGATTTTTGAATCAATTTCTGTGCTTTTAAGGTTAAGTCTGCACTAGGCTCCAATCTACTCCTCCTATGGCCAGTCTCTGTCATGCTTTAAGTGACAAGTGGATTTCACCAGTTGCTGTGAAGTGTCACTTTCTCTGAATAATTTAAGTGCAAGAATACTGATAAAAAAATAAATAAATAAAAAATCACCCATCCTCAAACTGTTTTTATTTATTTATTTGATAGGGACTAGTTGGCATTGCTCACACCTAGTCCATCAACATTAATCGCCCTATGATGAGATAATGAGCTCTGATGTTTTAAAGCTATATTTCCTCAGCTAAAGTGCAAAAAGTAAGTGTAAGTGTAATTGATTCCTATGCATCCTGTCTCCTTCTTTCTTACTTTTTGCTTGGCGCTGAAGTGAAAGATAGATCATTAGCTTTAATGGACTTCAGCCCTGTCATTACATGTCCCATTTACCTTCACTGCATAACACTCTGCTTTTCATATGGGCACTAGAGGAGGGCATTAGGACGAGAGGAGCACAGGATAAGTGCCAGACAAAATGTGACAGGCCAGACAAAAGACACGAAGCACACAGTTGAATGTGAATGAACACAATCATCAAGAACGTGGTTGGAGGTGAAGAAATATGAATTGTAGAAAAACTTTACAAGATCATTTTAATTTTGTCAGCTGTATTTCTGTGAATACTGGGGCATAATGGAATAACCTTGTTACATTTATCTGCACTAAATAAATTTTTCTTGAAGGTCCTATATTAAGCTAAATTTACTCATGTGAGCTTTAAACCACGTTATAATGCTGTTACCTCTTCGAAAACAGACCTGGAGTTGTGTTTTGTTACATTCACACATGTTTGAGTAACCCTTTATTATTAAAGGAACAGTCCAGAATTTTGGACATAGGGCCTTTATTTCCTAGTTCGCCAGAGTATTGGAGACATGTGGAAACACTTTCTAAAATATTTCATCCAGTCCTTGTATTTGCTAGGCTATTTGCTAGGCTAGCACATAGGACATAGTTAGCCTGCCACTAAAAAGTCTTACCCACTCCACAAAGCACCCAAAGCAAATCTATTATTACGCCAGACTGCTGATTTGAATATCTGTGTTGATAGAATAATTTTAGAAGTAAAATCAACTTTGCATTTGAAGGATTTATGTCTAAGAAGCAGCAGTGAGTTGTATTTCCTGATAGAAAGTTTGGCAGTGGCGGACTGATATCACCTAGCACGCACCTTACCGGCAAAGTAAAATTACACTGCTGCTGAGACAATAGTCCCTCAACATGCAACGATTCATGCATGCAAGGTTAGTTTTATTTCAAACATTATTCTATCAAGACAGACATTTATATCTACAGTTTGGTGTAATAACAGATTTGCTTTGGGTGTTTTGTGGAGTGGGTGAGACAGGCAGGATAACTATGGCCATTGACATGTGCTAGCCTAGCACCAGCGACCTCTGCAAATACAAGGACTGGGCTGAAATTATCCAAATGATTCTTGTGAAGGTGTATGGAGTTTAAAAAACACAGTGGAACACTTCCTGTATTACCACATAGCAGAATTTCTGTGTTAAACATGTGTGAATGAATCAAATCAGAACTCCAGGTATGTTTGTGATGAGAAATCAACATTATAACACAGATCAGAAAATAGAGTAATGCAGGCCCTTTAAATAATATAGTAAATGCAATATTAAAAAGAAGATGAATTTATTGCCTAATATTATTCTGTGGTCATTGCAGAAATTTTGAATTATATACCCAGCCGAGCAAGTAAAATGTGACATTTGTAAGCTACTGGGTGTGGAAAAATAAACACAATTAATAGCTCTTTGTGTCAGTATTAATCATAAAAGGAGGAAACAGGCTGAGAGTGGTGCTGAAGTGGCATTAGGTGAAACTAAATCCTTTCATTACACATTGATTAGCTAATATTGACATCTTGGGCACAATTAAAATGTTCATTTCCTCTGATATTTACGACAAATAAAATGTCAAAATGAAATCCCTGAGCTGTGCAATAATTCAATGGAAGGGTTTACAGTCATGAAAGCACAATAAACCTATGCCTGCTTGAATTTGTATAAACCTTTAGTAGACTAGCAGTGCTTCTGTGTTTGTTAAGTACATCTTTGGCAAACGGGACTAATATTTCAATGAATATTTTGAGGTATCATTATTGTTTTTAACTGAAGTATATTTAAAGGTACACTATGTGCCAGTTCTAGCGAAGGGTCTGCCACCTGCCTGGAATTTTACCAATAATAGTACAATTATCTTACTTATTTATGTGCATTTGCAAATGTTTTTATTGTTAACAAACAAACTAACTAAGAAACTAACATTTAAATGAGAAAATATCATTGCTTTCATGTAGGTTTTGGTGTTGTCAATGAGTTTCTTATACACCTGAAATTGCACTGTGAGTGGGCTTGCCTCTCCACAGATTTGCTTGACACTTGACCTGCTTGGTATCTTAGAGAAAAATAAGTGAAATTATACAGTGCATCCAATAACATCTCCACAGAGACAAGCTGGTGGCAGACCAACCAGAAGAACACTTCCATAGGCCTCCGTTAAGTTTTACTCAATTGTAAAGAACTTTATTTGCCAAAAAACAAGGTGATAAATGAGTATTTCCACCTTGAGTTCAGATGCCAGTGGAAATCTCCTTTTAATTCTGTGCCCCATGTTCCTGAGAGCAGGTACCAGAGGAGAGCTGCTCTTGTTGAGGTATGAACCTTGACCCCTTGCGCCCCCTGCTGCCTGGAGGCCCCTGCTCACCCTGTCAGAGCCGCCAATCACCAGCACACTGCTTTTAACAACCAACAAATGACTCTGCATAGACATGCATTTCACCACACACTGCCAGTTTAACTTTTTACTTACAACTTTCAACCCAAAATGTTTTCTGCGGTTCTGTTTCTGGAGCTATTATTTATGAGAACATAAAATTCATAAATATTCTAACAAGGCTACAATATTCACAACAGCTTGTAAAGTGAACCAACGTGCCAGACGGTGTTGTGTGGAACCAGCAGACAGCACATGTCCAAGTGCAAAAAACACATTACAAGTATTCACAGAGTACACAGAGGAATCCAAATGACTTACTTTAGATCTTGGAACGGCTCAGCTCGTACATGGGATGTCTCTACAGAATGGCTGAACACAACACCTTCATTCCCTGCAGAGAGAGAAAGAGAGATGTGAGAGAAGAGATGGTGGTGAAATGGAGAGATGGAGGTAGGGAAAGACGAAAGAGAGAAGAAAGAGAAACATGGAGAGAGATGAAGGTATAGAAAGACAGAAGAGAGTAAAACACAGAGAGAGCGAGAGACAAGGAGGAGAGAGATGGATGTAGAGAGAGAATAGAGGGACAGAGAGATGGGGTAGTGGGAGAATAGAAAGAGAGAAATGGTAGAGAAGAGAGACAAGGGGGTTAAAGATACAGAGAATGAAAAAAAGAGATGGACAGAGAAGAGAGAGAGAGATAAGGAAGAGGAATATGAGAGACAAAGAGGGGGTGAGACATAGAGAAAGACAGCAAAATATTGAGAGAGATGGGGTAGAGAGAGAACAGAGAGCGAGATGGGAGAGAGAGGAAGAGAGGGGAAAAGAGAGATATGGAGAAAGAGAGAAGAAAGAGGGGGGGAGAGAGAGAGAGAGATGTGAGAGAAGAGATGGGGTGAAGAGAGAGAAAAAAGAGAAACATGGAGAGAGACGGAGGTGGAGACAGACAGAAGAGAGTAAAACACAGAAAGAGAGGGAGAGAGAAGTGAGAGACATGGAGGAGAGAGATAGATGCAGAGAGAAAACAGAGGGACAGAGAGATGGCGCAGAGGGAGAAGAAATGGTAGAGAATAGAGGTAGAGGGAAAAGAGACAAGGGGGTTAAAGATGGAGAGAATGAAAAAAGAGAGATGGGCAGAGAAGAGAGAGAGATAGGGGAGAGGGATATAAGACAGAAAGAGGGGAGAGAGATAGAAATAAACAGCAAAATATTGAGAGAGATGGGGTAGAGAGAGAACAGAGAGAGCGAGATAGAAGAGAGGAAAAAGAAAGACACAGAGAAAGAGAAGAATGAGATGGGAGAGAAAGAGAGATGGGGGGGGGATAAAACAGCGTTAGTGTAAAAAACAGCAGTCACTTAACATGCATGACACAGAGCTCCGATCGTCCATGCATCACACCACTTATGTTCAATAAAAGCCCATTTAATGCAGCAATATTTTACTCAGCGTGATTTAACTACCAGGAAATTAATTGGAGGTGAGACATTAGAAACTCTGAAAAGTGTTTTTTATAAAATTCCCAGGTCACCGAGTTTAGAACACTTTTAATTAAACTTTATGCATTGTGAATTGTAGTAGAACATCAGCAGTCATTTCTGTCTGCATATTATCACATTTTTCCATTTTTCTAAAAGTATACATTTGTACAAAATGCTAAATACATTAGAATAATTACTGTTTTGTTATTTTCTGATTGATGTCATAATGTTGTTTTCTCATCACAAACATACCTGGAGTCATGTTTTGTTGAAAACTGGATAACATCACACATTTTTAGCTTTGGAGATGCAGACAGACTAATAGTGCAGGATTACTCAACCAACAAAACACAACTCCAGGTATTTTTTTTTGAGAACGTGGCAACATTATAACGTAACTTTAAATCCAATAGAGTCAATTTTGCGTAATATAAGATGTTTCATTTCAAAAGTTGACACAACTGAATTTTTCTTTTGTTGTAGATCATACCTAGTGCCTCCTCTCAATTTCATTTCTCTCCAGTGACTAGGTCAGGAATCCGAATACACTAGACGGTTTGGAAGAACCTCGGAAGTTGTAGATCGTGCACTGCCCAATCAGAGAAGAGTTGTGAAGCCATGGCTGGGTCCCTTTTGTGGTACAGCACAACAGTAAACAAAGTGGTCGAGATGGATGTAAATGAAGCCATACATTCTGTGTTGGCAATGATTCCCGAGATCGAGGAACAAAGACAATGTTCGAAATGTGAATTTTATCAAGAGGAAATGGGATTTGGGATAAGCTTAATATACCAGATAGTCCCGTTAGCAGTGCATTGCATATGTCACAACCATAAAGGTTTGGTTAAATAAAAAAAGTAAAGTACCGAGCAAACAAATCCTAATGCTGCAAGGTCAGATGGTTTCCACAAAGTGAAACTGGCCGATGAATCAGGCCAGATCATACCTGGACAACTGAGGAATTACATAGACATCTTATTTCAAAAGTATTTTTAGCTTGCTTTCTTTGTGCTTCTAATTGAGCCATATCAAAAAACCTCTATAATCATAATCATCCATGCTGATTACAAGATGTTAGAGCACCAGGCCATGTTATGGGTTCTGAATGATGGTGTATTTTGGGGCGAATAAAAACACCTGTAATTGAATAAATGCACAATAGATAAATGTAAGACCATATGGTGTGGTACTTCCTAGATTAAGTCACATGGGGCACTCCTTTTTCCTCCACTGTTTCTGCGTACAGCAGAGGTGTTGATAGCCTGCACCAGTTCTAGCTAATAGCAGTATTTAGCCCCCGTTGTTGAGCGGCTCTTTGTCTGGGGCCTGGAGCAGATGTTTGGGATGAGCTCTGGTCCAGGCTCCAGCTGAGACAGTGCTGTACAGGCTGCACACTCAGCACTGCAGCTAATGGAACAGCATACACCACTTTACTCACACTATCTCGATACTTCAATAATGCAGCAAAGACAGGTTAACTAAGGCTGAGGTGACAAAAGAAGTACAAGTTCAATACAAGTACAAGAATCATGCAAGTGTTTATGAGAGGTTTTCATGTGTTTTCTTTTTCTAATTGTTACTTGTGTCTGGGGAGATGGTAGCCTGATTCATCAGCCGGTTTCACTTTGTAGAAACCGTCTGACCTTGTAGTGTTAGAATTCATTCACTCAATGGTAGGCAGGTAGGTTTTTTTCATTTAACCAACTGCTGCTATTTGATCATGATGTATGGAATGTGCCCCTAATGGGGCTAAATGGTAAATTAATCTTTTCCCAAATCCCGTAGGAAGAAGGGCAATAACATCTTTCCCCCTTGATAAAATTCACATTCTCTTTGTTCTGGCTTTAAATCCTTGATCTTGGGAATCGTTGACAACACAGAATGTATGGCTCTTTGCTGATTGGCAGGTGCCCAAACTCACACTTCTGGGGTTTTTGAAAACTGTCTAGTGTATTCTGATTCCTGACCTAGTCACTGGAGAGAAATCAAATCGAGCGGAGGCAGTAGGTGGCTCCAGTCTGGCTACTGAGATGGTACCTGTGGTAACTAATTATCATAGTTTTACTTCAGTTAAGTGGCAGTTTGAAGGAAAAAAATACAAAATACTTAGTCTAATGTGTCAGTCTAATGTGCACTTTAAAGGTTAAACAAGGGAAGTCATCACTTATATTTTCCTTTTTAGTTCAACCTTTCATATGTCACAATTTTTTTCAGTCACACCTTTTTATCTGAAGAAACTTAAAGGCAAAGAAAAAAAAGGAGCAGTTTAAAATAATTTAAAGTCCAAAAATGTGTTTACCTGTGACTCGTAGCTTCTCCGTGCCGATGCTGATTTCCTCTTCATCCGCAGAAAACAGCACTCTCTCTCCATCTGCACTCCTCACTTCAAATCTCTGACATTGCGCCTCCACCATCTCTGACCCTAGAAAACATACAAATATACACAATTAAAATCATATAGTCAATGGCACAACAAAACAAAAAAAACAAAAACATTTCTCTGGGAAGCACTGAAATTAAACACAAGATTAGAGAGGGATTTATATTTATAGGTTTCAAGGCAACAGCAAAGAAGAAATATGGACTGCTAAACTAATACCTTTTTTTCTTTTCATAAAAACAGGACATTCGTTTGTAGAGTTGTTGTGCAGGCTTTGTGATTTGATAATCGAGAAAACACAATACCCATTTAAATACATATTGTGCATTTTATTTATTTTCTATTATGAGTTATGTTTGACTGAAAATATTCATGCACATTCGTATGCATTGGTATGATTTTGATTCAGACACATTCAGAAAAGAAAACATGTGTTTTCCATACAAATAGTGTTAGTGACTCTATCATCACACCTTCCAAAAAGCAATAAAGCACCTCATACTCCAATATCATTTTCAAATTCAAAGTAAAATTTCAAACACTGTTCAAATGCTGAATATATTTTTCATAAAACCTTACTCCAAATGTCAGATTGAACTATAATTCCCTGCAGTGTAAACATAGCCTTTGACTTGACAGTTACAATAACTGCCCTTTATATCGTCACTTGTGGTGCCACAGATTTCAAACTAACTATTGAATTACACATGGGACCCTGCTGTATAGACAGTGATCCCATTCTGCGTGTCAGTAATCATCCTGCAGAGCCCTGTCAATCATAATCTAACTTCATTAGCCGTCTGCAGTCTGGGATTAAGTCTTTACTCTCATCTGGATCTCATTGTCTTTATCCCTCCTATCGCTGTCTTAATCCTCTCTCTCCTCCATCAGCCGCACACAGAGAGAAGCACTCCAGTTTGGCTCATCCTGAAGAGAGCTGAAGAGTGTCTGTCTCTGCTGCTTTGGAGTGTCTGTTTGTGGGAAAACAATGTGATCGAGACAAGAGCCCTGCTTAAAGACGCACACATAGAGAAATAGAGAAATGGTGCCATAGATTAGACCAGAGATGAACTGTGTTATGTATCAGACCAACAGTGGTTTTCCTGGTCATGAATCCTCTTAAAGGACCCATATTATACCATTTTCTGATCTATGTTATAATGTTGTTTCCTCATCAAAACATACCTGGAGTTGGTTTTGTTTCATTCAAACATGTTTGACACACAGATCCTTCACATTTAGGCTGAGTTCATCTCTCAACCTCTGGAACTGCCGATCTCTATTGAACTAAAGATAAAAGGTAGCTTCATGACATCACAATGTGGAACAGGGCATTCTGATCTTTGGAGATGTTAACAGACTAATAAATAAAGGAAAAACACAACTCTGGGTATGTTTTTGAGGACGTACCAACATTCTAACAAGGCTTAAAGCTCACAAGAATCTATCTTGACTAATATAGGACATTTAACCCTTGTGAACCCCTTTAAAACTAGTTACATCAAAAAAGAATACCACAATATTTTTATGCAGCACTGATTTTTGTCCAACTTTTTTATATAAATGTCTTCATTTACTTTTGCTCAAACCCATACATACTAAATATTATATAATATTTTGATTTTTTAACCCCTTAAATGCCTTTTTTTTGACAGCAAATGTATCAAAAATATGTGCCTGAAAAAAACAACAACAACAACAAAAAAACATTCAGTGCATTCTTGGACTACTCTAGAATACACCCATATCATTCTAACCTCAAATATCTGTGTCTCTGGCCTTCAGTGTGAACTAATATGTACAAATGTCTTTCTACTGATATAACCTTTATTATAGACTGTTTAATTAATGTGATCTTGAAACAAACACAGAAATTAAAAAGACATCACAAAATACACAAACTGGCCAAGTTTGGTGTTATTTGGTGCAATATAATCAAAGTTATGCTAAAAAGAAACGTTGAGATGTACAAAAATGTACCTAGGGGTGTAGGAGGGTTAAAGAAGACATAATATGGTTTTATCTGATATATAGAGGCAATCTATGGCACCCGTGTATCTTTAATTTATATTTGGAATATTATAAATTACAACACTGATTTCCATCTGCCCCTTTAGTGTCACAGCAGAGCATACAAATCCATCTGATTTTTCAAAAAATAATTTCAATACATTTCTGGTACTATTCCATCTTCAGTCAAAGTTTAGTCACCTCAAAGTTTTCAGGTCTGAATCATCTTAAACTGTAATATGCAAATAGTATACAAAAAAAAAAAAAAAAAAAAAAAAAGTCAAAATAACACGAGAGCTTCCGTTTGTTTTAAATTGAATGTCCTAAACTTCAAATTGTTAATGTCAAAATGTCATATTCTATCCCTTTTCCGTTTACCAAATTACATCTTGATAACTTAATTGCAAGTAGTTTCAGTATTTTACATCAGCACCTTTTGAAACTATTGGATGGAGTTAAAATGTCAAATACCGATGTGAAATTAATTTTACATATTCTGTCAAAAAACACAAAGTCCACATTGAGTTGAGAGAGGAAATAATTACCTGCTCATTATTTCTGAAAGCTTAAACTGTCGTGTCAGTTAAAGTGTCCCCCTCATAGCTCTAGTGTTAACCCTGATTATAATGTGTTTGATCAGTTACCTGTGATTGCCTTCTCTTCACTAGAGCCAAAGTCATTTCACCGTCACCAAAAACAGCAGCGCTCCTCATTAAGCAGACATGTTAATTGATTCACTGATTTCAATAATCTCTCCCTAACAGGATCTGCTTTGTCGTCACCGGTGTCTCTCTCTCTCTGTGGGGCCATTTAAACATTAATAAAGTCTTTTACAACAGTGCTCAAAAGAAAAAGGTGCCAGGTTGTGCCAACTCAAAATTAGGACATCATGTAACAATAACTCCGACTCAAGGTCATGTTTTGGATAGTGATTTGTTTGGACTTATGTCGAGGAAATCTGTAGACCATGTTTGACTGATCACTGACCAAAATGCCCAACTAAACCACAAGGAAAGAAAGTTGTGTTGCTGTAGCTCACGCAGAAAAAGCACAAAATATATTTATATAATTATGCCTTATTTGACACCAGTCTCTTGTTATTTTGCTACTTTTTTATTTTTTATTTATTTATTATTATCATCTATATTTTTGCTCTTTGTTATTATAATATATTGTGGTGTGTGAACTGTGCCCAAATATTATAATAAAAAAATTCCCTTGTGGATCAATAAAGTTTGTTTGAATCTACATTTTAAAGTAAAAACTTGTAAATTATATTCTGAAAGGATTCATAAATATGCAATAAGAATAATTTTCCGGAGGTGGACATTTAAAAATGAACAATTTATGAGTTTTTGTCATTTTTTATGCTGCAACTGGAACAGTGATTTCCCAAGATCATGTTCACAATGTCACAGTCAGTGAACAAAATGTCCATTCGTCTTTATTTGGTGTTACAAACTGTCCTGGAAACCCTCCTCTAACCACTTCAGATTATTACGCACATAAAAACCAGACAATAAATTGATGTTTTTACCACTCTATCTTTTTGTTACTTATCTCCAGTGGAGTACAAAGACTTTTTTTTTCTTGGTGGTAACTTTCAAAGAACGTCAGAGGAGAACACAGCTGTATTATTTAGAAGTCTTTGAAAGTAAACAGCACACTCCTCTCCCATGATGCAACGGGCTGCAAAGCTTGGGCCACTTCCTAGGTTGATGTGCTTGCACCAGTCAAAGAACACCACAGGCACAACACCTCCAAAAAAAAGAGAGTTTAGAACGACAAGATAAATGACCCAAACTTCAGAAAAAATGGCGTTGCAAGATACGGTGTGAAGAAATAAGAAAAGTGCAGTGCCTTGCAGTTTGTATTTCACTTTGCCACAGGTGGGAGGGTAAAATTCATGCACTGGGGCACACCAATTATTTATTTAGAGATGATTACAGTCATTAATATGGTGAGGGAGGAGAGAAGGAGCCAGAGCACCAGATAAATGAGTGTCATTTGTCATCTTCATTCATCAACATGATCTCTGCAGTCAAAACCGTGAGACGCAGGAGAGATGAGAAGAGCTGAGCGGAGGGATATAGGCTAAAGTTGGCGAAGAAAAGTAAAAATGCCTTCAAAACATCCAGTGCAGCATTATGTAACCTGGTTTTGTTTATTGCATAAACAGATATACCGTGGCATAAATTTAATATAAATCTAAGAAAAGTGATGTTTCATTAAGTTTTACGGCATTCTTTGGCTTGCATAACACTTTCAGCACATTAGGTTAGGTATAATAAAGTGTCACTCAAAAGAATTCATGGCCCTCATATAAAACTCATATATAAGTTTAAGTAGGAGATTTACTCAGGCACTTTTGAATCACATTACTTTAGATTGTATTATAGTGTTCAAAATATGAGCTCCATTGAATGACCTTTCATCATTAAACAGGCATATTCTGGTCTCTAATTGTGGTGAGTGGTTCTGAAGCATAAGGCATCACACATGAACTGGTCATAACAGAGAACAGCTTTGAATGCCATTGAGAATCTTTGGGACATGCTGGAGGAGACTTTGTGTAGTGTTTCAACTCTCCCATCATCATCAGCATCATCATAGACTTTATAACTCACCCATCACAATATATTATAATACAATGAGCAAAAATAAAAATAAATACATTCAAAATAAGTAGCAAAAATAACAAGAGACTGGTGTCATGTAATAACCTAGCAACCATGGCGGTATAAGAGGAATGATTTGTAGTGCAGATCCCAAGTGCATTTATTCCAGAACCAAGCAAAAATGAAAAAAAAAATTATATATATAATATATATATATATATATATATATATATATATATATATATATATATATACACACACATACATACAAAAGTGCAAAATTAAAAACAGGCATGGCAACCTGCGCTCACACACAGCACTTTCTCCTCCACAAAGGTGAAGTTGGCTCCTTTTGTAGGCCACCTCCTCTAATTGGGTGAGCTCATCTTAAAGTGTAGGCAGACTATTTCAATT